TGTTGCTTGTGGAGTGGGGGTTAGGTGCTGGGGATGTGGGATTCGCGGGTTAGGATCTGGGGTGGGAGTGGCGTGTGTTTCATATTTCAAGCTCGGGTTTACACTAGAAAAACTAAGAAGTCTTCTAGGTTTTCTACGTGTGATCTACGTCAGTTAGCATCTGTGACTGAACTACGTGTGATCTACGTCAGTTAGCATCTGTGACTGAACTACGTGTGATCTACGTCAGTTAGCATCTGTGACTGAACTACGTGTGATCTACGTCAGTTAGCATCTGTGACTGAACTGAGCTGATCTGCCTTAATTAATAATAATACAATGTTCCTCTTAGCAATGTTAACTTCGGAACAAGGAAGATTTCCCTGACTATATTATTGCATCGTTCAGAAGGCAGAAACGACAGTTGATTGTGTCGAGAATGTAGCTTGACTGGGATTGTAATGTTCACAAAATGTCAGCTTGGAACCCTAGCTGATGTCAGGCCTCGAAGTGGTGGTGGTGTTGTCATTGCTGTTGAAAGACCTGACTCGTGGCGTTGTCAGCGTTGGCATGTTCTGGTGGGAGCAACATCTGTTTGCTAAAACCTCATCTCTCCTGGTCAGAGGTCAGACTCTCTCTCTCTCTCTCTCTCTCTCTCTCTCTCTCATTGTGAAAGCTTATTCTGAAATTCTGTGTGGTTCAGCCGGGCTGTGGTTCGTATGTTGGACCATGTGCGGTCAGCAGTAACAAACTGGTTGATCAGGCCCTGATTCACCGGGAGGCCTGGTCGTGGACCATTGATCCCCGGAATACCCTCCAGGTAGACTCCAGCTAGAGACCCACGCATTTGAGAGATCGACCCACGCACCTGAGTTATCGACCCACGTACCTGAGAGGTCCACCAACACACCTAAGGGGGTCGACCTACGCATCTGAGTTCTTAACCCACACACCTGAATTACTGTCCATGACTGCCTGGTGTGATATGTGGCACAAGTGTTTAAAAGTGACACAGGTGTGTGCCCAGGTGAGGTACTCGTGCTAAGGTGATAACACCCGCACACACGTGACGCACATACACCCTCCGTGTGTGTGTCTGCACGGTTCACATATATAAACACGGTTAAACACACACACACACACACACACACCTAATATCCACAGTGGCTGGAACAATGGACAACTGACAATTTACAGAGGAGAATTTAGGTGGCTTTTCGGTTGGACCTGAACCCTAATCAGGTTACGACTGAGGGAGGAAGCCAGAAGACAGGTCAGGAGGAGAGGTAAAGAGAAAGTCAGTCAGGTCAAGTAACATGCAGTCAGCAGGTGGTAGCAGCACTCGCCAGTTCTCAGCTCTCCGGATAATTTCTAATTCGTTTCTCCCTTAAAGTTGTTGGGTAATTACGATGCTATTAGTGAAGAACAGTGCCACTTAATGAGAGAGAAGCATGGTAAATATGGAGGCTTATATTATTTAATGTCTTCAGCGTGTGAGACAGGTTACTGAATATAAACACCAGGGGGTCATAGTCAAGAAAAGAACGTTAAAGTGGCCGGAGTGTCACTCAGCGTAGCGCTGACCACTTGTGTCAGCAGCACAGCATCCACCAGAGTGTCACTCACGTAACGCATGACCACTTGATCCTAGCAGCTCAGCTTCCACCAATTCACCAGCTTACGACTGACCCACTGTCAGATCAGCTGCACACAGCCGCCACCAGAGTCCCTAACCACAAAAATTGGATTTAATTCTATATTAACAGATGAATTTAATGTGCCACAGTCAATGAGAACCAGTACAATTATCACGTACTGAGGTGAGACCAGTACATTGGCAGCGGTACTGATGAGACCAGTACAATAGTCACAGCACTGAGTAAAACCAGTACATGTCACAGTTTCTAACATAGAGACCCATACATGTCACGTACTTGAGGAAACCATACATTGTCACAGTACTAGAGTGATCGAACCCTAATATATGTCACAGTACTAAGTAGACCAGTACATTATCCCAGCAACTGAGTAAACTCATACATTTGTCACAGTTCAAAGTGAGACCAAGTACATTAGTCACGGTACTGAGTGAGACCATAACATTTCACAGTACTGAATGAGACCAATATCATTTGCAAAGTAATAGTAGCCCAGTACATTTGTCACAGTACTGAGTGAGACCAGTAACATTGTCACAGTACTGAGTGAGACCCAGTACTTGTCCACAGTACTCGAGTAAGACCTGTACACTTGTCACACAGATAACTGGATAAGACCAGTACAGTGTGACAAGTACTAATGAGTACCAGTACCAATTGTTACAGTTACTGATGAAGATCCATACAATATCACAGTACTGACTTAAAACCAGTACATTGCGTCACAGTAACACTAATGAAACCATAACATTGTCACTGTACGGATGAGGCAAGTACTTGCGTCACAGTACTTGAGAGTGAGACTAGACATTGTCACCAAGTACACATGAGATGATACCAAGTACACATTTGTCACGGTAGGTGTGTGTGACTGGAGTGAGACCAGTAACATTGTCACAGTATGAGTTAGGATCCAGTACAACATGGTCACAGTACTGAGTAAAACCAACATTGTCATCAAGCAGCGAAGTGAGATCCAGTAACAGTTGATCACAGTACTGATGAGAACCAGCTAAAATTGTCACAGTACTGAGTGGTTGACAATGACTAAAAGAAACTAAAAAAGAGAGAGGAAGAAAAAAAATGAACCACAGAGAGAAACAAAAACAAAAGAGAGAAAAGAAAGGAATACAAGAACACAAGAAAGAAACAAAAAAGAGAAGGAGAAAAAAAAAGGGGAGGAAGATAAGAAATAAAGAAAAAGAGAGAAAAAATACAGACAGTGAAAAGAACCAAGCAGAAAAAAGAAACACAGTACATTGGGTCATCGGTACTAAGAGTAGACCAGTAACAATGACACAGTACTGCGTGAGAACTACTACAATTGTCACAGTAGTGAGTAGGACCAGACATTGTCCACAGACTCAGTGAGACCAGTCCCAAGTGTCCACAGTACTAAAGTGAGACCCCAGCACATTGCCACAGTAATGAGTGAGACCTACATTGCTCCACAGGTACTGACAGAGTTGAGAACCAGTACATTGTGAACGTACTTAGTGAGACCAATAACATTGTCCTACATAGTGAGTAGAACCCTTAACAATTGTCACAGTATCTAAGTGAACCAGTACCATCAATGCGTCACTGTTCTGATGAAACCAATACACATTGTCCCAGTACTAAGTGAGACCAGTACTTTTCTTCACAGTACTTAATGCTACCATACATCTCACTGTACTAGTGAGACCAGACACATTGTCTACAGGACGATCTTATCTCTGAAACCAGTACATTGACACGGTACTGAGATGAGACCAAACATTGTGCGAACGTACAACTCAGTGAAAACCAGTACATTGTCACAGTAAAAACTAAGTGAGAACAGCATCTAGCATATTCACATCAGCCTGAGCGAACCTAACATCTGTCACATACTGAGTAAGACCAGTACAATAGTCACTTATTGAATGGAGACCAGTAACTATTGTCACATACTGAGTGAGACCAGCTAACATTGTCTCACAGTACGGAGCGAGAACTATGTATAAGTGTCACAGTACATGAGTTGAGACCAGTACATTGTCACCAGTAACTTGAGTGAAGGACCCAATACATTGTCACAGTTACACTGAGTGAGAAACCATACCATTGTCACACAGCTAACTTGCGAGACTCAGTAACATGATCACAGTACACTGACTGAGACCTGTACACTTGACACAGTACTGAGTGGAGACCAGTAATTGTCAACGGCAACTGAGTGAAGACCATACATGTGTCACAGTACTGAGTGAGACCATACATTG